AGGCTGCTGGTGCCCTTCCAGGCCTGGGCTGGCCCTTGCAGGAGGCTCCTCAGACATTGAAGATAGGTAGGTTTCTAGCCCCTGAGTAGCCCCTTGGTGACCAGCAGATACAAGGTTTGGAGCTGCTACCACAGGTCCCTCAGCTCTGTGGGGATGTCTCAGTCAGGGAAGAGGCTGGTGGCTTTATGCCCAGCTTGCTGTGGTGCAGAGTGGTGGGGTAGGTCGATTCCTACCCAGCCACCTCAAAAACATCCTCAGAGGAGTGGAGAAAAGAAATGGGGATTTTTTTTTTTTTTTTCACCCACACCTTTTTCTACACTGCAGTTCTGATCCAGGCAGATGGGAACCCAGCTTCTGCAGTGGGATTTGGGTGCGTGCGGTACAGTGAGACAGCTGAAGCTATGAGCAAAAAGCACGCATAAATAAAGGCATCCTCCCCGTGCTTTATATAATCAGAGCGGATGATGTCATTGGGAGCCTGAGAGGAGAGCAGGCTGTGAAATTACAGCCCTCTGCAGCCAGGCAGAGCCAAGTGCAAGGAGGGGCTGCGTGGAGCAAGGGCCAGCCGCCTCTCTGAGAGAGGCTCAGGACAGAGGGCCTGGGGGCTCAGGCTTGGAGGGGAACTGGAGGGGTTGAAGTAGATAATCCAAATACATCAGAAGCTTGGAGGGGAACTGGAGGGGTTGAAGTAGATAATCCAAATGCATCAGAAGCTGTCGCGCAGGCACAAAGTGAAAAGAGGGGGAACAGCACAGTGCCGAGCAGGCAGCAATGGGGCTGCTGTTTTAGGGGCAAGGACCTCCTTCTTGCACATGCAGCCACCTACAGCTTGTTGTGGATCAGCTGGCAGGGCTATGGGACTGCTGGGCTTGCTTGTTCCTCTTCTGCTTCAGCCTCCTGACCCATCTGTTTAAGGGCTAACATACTTTTTCCCACAGCAGCTCCTGGCAGAGAAGAGAGGGCATCCTTGCTCTGCTTGCTCTCCACATCCCAGAGGAACTTGCTTCTGAGCTCTTCCTGGCACTACACAGGGGAGGAAGCAGAAGCAGCAGAGGGGCTCTGTCCTAGCTGGAGTTGCCAGGTGGAACAGGATAAAAGGTTGTCCTCAGCTCTTTGGGACAGAGAAGTGCATATTACGCTCTGGTTTACCAAAGCCTCTCGGGTGCTTTGCTCCTTTTCTGGCCACCGTGATGCCCTACATGGGAATCTCGAAGAGGGGTTTTACCCCTCAGGCTGAGCAGGAGGGGAACAGTAGGCTGGTCTCTTGGGAAAGAGACCCCCTGCCTTCCAAATCCTCCATGGGTTCTGTCTTCAGAACATCCAGCACCTACCGTGTGCTCAGGATGCTGCTGTGAGAGCCTGATTTTTTTTCTAAGGCCACTTAGGCAGAAGAAAGGGCTCCAGCTTCTCCCATCTGCCCTGCAGCTAGTGTGCAAAGGCTTCCTCCTCATCTGAAACTGGAATTCTCCTTCTGTCATCCTCTGTCTTCCCCAAGATCAAGGCAGCGAGAGGCAGCAGCCCTTCGCGCCAAGCCCGAGTTGTTTCTCTGTTATATAACAATATGGGCATTTAGACTTGTTTTTCCAGATATTGGCAGATGCGTCAAATATTGGCATAATTCAGTGGTTTACATGGAAAGCCGTCTGGCTCTGTCTGGAGCCTGCACAATGCTGGTATTTTCATTGAATACAAGAGCCTGCAGCGTTGTCAAAGCCACGTTGCAACAGAGTCCAGGTAAACAAGGGGAAAAGACAGTTGTATCATGGCCTGGCTTGTGGGATTTTAGCTGCCCAGGTACAGCTCCAGGACTTGGTAAGAAAGATTAATAGGTTTGTCATTGCTTTCACTCTGAAATGGTCTTTTAGCAAAGTTTGCTGTGATGCTTTTGCACTCTAGAGTCTTATTTCTGGGTTTTACTGAAGCCACTCATCAGTGTGTCAGACCTGCCCATGTGCTCTGTGGTTTAAGAACCATGGTCCGCTCCAGGGCTGTTGTAAGTTGAGGGAGGTCAGGGGCTGTGACCGGGTTAGACTTTAAAAGTAAAAAGGCAAGATATTAAACGCCGTGGAGGAGAAAGAGCAGGGGAGGCTGTTGGATCTGATCTCTCCGAAGGAAAGCAGTGCGCTCACGTGCCAGGACAGTTTGCAGGTTTGGTTGCTTTTCTCTGTCCTGGCTGCACTGGGACGGGGAGCTCCCGAGTGGCTCCGCCAGCATCATCCCCAGCAGCAGGAGGTGACTGCTGGGGCTGAAGGGCCTGGCTATCCCTGGACTGCACCAGCCTGCGCAGTGAGGCTGGCCCGCTGCTGTATGCCAGTGTAAAGCCCTCTGCATTTCCCTTGGTTAGGCTGTGGTTGGAGATACCAATGCACTTACGTTTGCAGTGGCGTCAAAACTCGGTGTGGCTCAGCCCCGAGTGCAAAACAAGGGGAAGATCCAACAGCAGCACAAAAGTGGTGGCTTTGGTCAAACCTCTTCCAAACCTGCCTCATCTCAGCCAACGCCACCTGCCCCTGCAGCGTGCTCATCGCCCGAGCTGTGCTGTGTGCTGTCAGCTCCTGCTCACACCCTCTGTTGCAGGCAGGTGTCCCCTCCCGATGCCTGGTGTGCTAGCAAAGGCTGTCACCCTTGCTGCAGGCCACAACCTTTGGTGGCCAGGAAGAAGAGTCACTGGCAGGAGTGGCCTCTCTGAAAACCATCTGATGCAGCACCTTCCTCGGTTCCTGGTAAAACCTCCAGTGCCAAGACTCAGCCCAAAGCTCAGGCTGTAGATGCATTGTCTGTTTCTCTCTGCGTTCAGGAGTGGGCTGTGATACATTTGACACGGGTTAAATGTTGATTCCTCAAACGTTTTTTTTTTCTGTTGCACAAATAATTCAGTTTTCATCATAGGCTGGGAGCTACTCTTGCCCAACAGGGCAGAGGGGAAGTCTGTGGTCCCTACCTGTAGCTGGTGCTCTGTAGCAAGTCCCCTGTTAGGTGGAACTGGTCCTGCTCCTCAGTCCCCACATCTATGCACGCATCTTTAGCTCTGCTCAAGCTGCCTTTTCACTTGGGCTGATCCTGTAAGTGAAGTGTATGACTGGCACTTGTACTTGTGCTGTGAAGAGACACGTGCTGCAACTTGATGACTGTGTTCTGGCAGCTCTGACTCGGTGACTTGCCTTTGTGACCGTTAAGGAAATCTGTGGCGTAGCCAAAAGTGGATTCAGAACCTAGAATGTCTTTAACCACAAGATCCTCCTCCTTTCTCTAGCTGCAAGAAGTCAGTATCCAGTTTCCTGTGGGATGACATGAACTACAGTGCCAGTGTGAACCAGCAATGCTTTTTCATTGCTGGCCCTACAGGTCATCAGGAGACATTGGGCAAATACCTGTAGTGGGAGCATACAGCTTCTGTTGATCAAGCTCTGTGTTGAAAATGGGCTTCCAGGTAGAAAAAGAATCCCCCTGTGTCAGCCATATGGGTTTAATGTCGGTGGGGCTTGCCCCAGAGCAAGCTGAGAAGTAAAAGATGAGATTGATGTGATTGCTATTTTTTTCAGTTTGATTTTTAGATTATGATTTCCCATTCCTCACCCCTTCAGTTGTTAATATTTAATGAAAAAGACGTGTTCTTCAAGGCCCTTGTTGGTCATACGCAGCCCAGTGGCTGTTCTTGAGACAGGATGATGGACCCTTTGTAAAGAGATTTATAATAGAAACAGTGAGGAGCTCACAGCTACAGCACCGCTAGTGAACACTCCCCTGCGCTGACAGTTCATCAGCAAAACCCCTGACCCTTCCACCCTTAATCATCCTTGCTTGTCACTGACATAATTGCCTGATTACAGACTTCTCTCCCCCACTGCTTTCAACTGGGTGCAATAGTGAATTTGAAAAACAAATGGAAATGAACTGTCCATGCTCTTTTTTTTTTTCTTCTTCTTCCCCTACATTGAGATGGATCAGGCTAAGATTCAGTTTCTTTGTGCGTGAGCAGGGACTGGGACAGGCTTTCAGGACTTTTTTGCACCAGTCTTTCTTGCATGTGAATGATGGAGCTGATGTCATTGTTTTATTGATTGGGATGACAAGTTTGGACATAAATCATTAATGTCTGGGAAAGAGAGAGGGAGAGGAAAAAGGCAACCCACACTTGATAGTTTTCCATAAATCTGCTGTTCGTTCCTGCATATGTGGTACAGAAGGGGAGACAGCGGGAACAGTTTTCCCATGTAGCCTGCGCATGGCATGCTTTGCCACTGCTGCCTAAACCATTTTCCCCAAAACATGTTTCCATATTCTGCAGAAAATGGCTCGTATCATCAGCGACACTGTCGTGCTTGAGCCTGTCTTTGTAGACATGAGACAAGGTCAGAAGACTGCCCAGGGGAAGGTCTTGGGTTCTCTTGTTCCCACAGACCTTGCACTCCCGGCAGCTTTTCAGACCTGGGTCCAGGAAGAGTAAGAGTGCAGTTCTTGGGAACTACCATCCTCTTTAGCTGCCAGCAGGGATTGTTTGGATGGTTTGGGCTGACCATTTTTCTCATTGATCTTCTTAATTTTGTGCAAAAAGGTGGTGTTTAGATCAGTTCATAGCAAACGTCTCCGAGCCAGCAAAGCACAAGTGTGCAGGGGGTAGCAGTCATTCAAAACTGCTTTTGCAAAAGTTCCTCTCAGCAAACAGACAGCAAATAGCTGAGAAAGAGAGAGGGAGGAAACCCATTCGCCTGTGTGCCTTGCCCCTACACAAAGTTCATCCAGATGAGTCAGATTATCAGTTCAGACAGCAAGAAAATAAACAGTGTTTGTCAGAGGTTAGCAATAATGCAGGTATTGGTGAGCAGCTGATGTTTGCAGTGTAAATAATGTCGTGGCAGTCTGTCCTGGTACCTGTGGGGAACTTTGTGATGTGTGGAAAGAGGGAAACATGAAAACTGCCTCACAGGAGAGAAGTAGAGAAGGAAATTCTGTTTCTTTTCTGAAAGCATAGCTCTGATCCTTCTCTTCTCCCTTTGCAGCCGAGCTCACCTCCGCCTGTGTCTAGAGCGCTTAAAAGTTCTGATACCGCTAGGACCAGACTGCACCAGGCACACAACGCTTGGGCTGCTCAACAAAGCCAAAGCACATATCAAGGTAAGAGCTGCTTTTCCCAGCTGCCTTCAGGCTGGGAAGCACAATTCAATTGCTCTGTCTTGCTGCCTAGAGGTAACTCTGTTGAAGGAGACTAACACCTTTGAAAGAAAAAAAAAAAAATGTCGAGCAAGCCTTGCCCCCTTGGTTAATCATTTATCATTGCTACAAGCCACATTGTTAGAAGAGTCCATAATGAACTCCGTTAACTACGGAAATGATTGATTTGGAGAGCTGGGGCCTTGTTCTGTATTGTGATCATTTGTTGACAGCTGCATCTCTTTAAAGAAAAACCTACCTACTGTTGAGTGACTGCATTTTGATGGGAAGTGCAGCTTTTTTTGATGTGCTCGTGCATTAGCACAAAGCACAAGAGTGTGAGACAGGGTTGGCTCGCTGGGGTTCCGTGTGCGAACCTGCCAGCTAGCCCAGTGCTCTTCTAGATTCGCTTTTGGTAAAGCGAAGCATGGAAAGAAAATGCAGCATTGTCAGTATCTGGAAGAGGCTGAAATGCGCTGTTGCAGGTCAGGAGGGAGGATGGGTGGTGAAGGAGAAAAAGCGCTGCCGAAGGGACAGTTAGCCTGACATGACTCCTCCTTATGCAATGCGCTTGTCGTAGGAAACAAAGAACAGTGCCCTCGTAGACTTCCCAGCTGTGATCAAAGAAATCTGTAGTAGGTTATGTAAATCACTTGCTGAATAGAAAACTGTTTCTGAGAAATCCTACTAAACCATGTGGCAAGGAACACAGAACTCCCAGGGCACGTTTTCATGTTACAGTCGATCATAACAAACCCTGAATTGGTTTGGTTAAGGGAATTGAGGCCCCTTCGTGGACAGATTTGGTAACGCAAGTGGCTGGATCGATGTGGAATGACCCACAAACTGCCACAGTTCAGATTGTTTCCCCGGAGAGGCTGTGTCCTCAGAGACTTATTATACTAATGTGTATGATTTATCAGGACTTGAGAGGTGGAAAAGATGCGAGGATATGGTATTTTTCTTGGAGACTGCAAAGCGGCTTGGTTCAGGGCTCTTTTGCAGCTTAAATCCTTCTGGGATGTGGGAAGGTCTAAGCAAAGCAGGTGGCTGGGCAGTGGAGGTGGGAGGGAAGGAGAAAAGTATGAAACTAATTATTGAGTCGTATTTGATCATGTCAGAAACTTGAAGAGGCTGAGAGAAGGAGCCAACACCAGCTTGAGAACCTGGAACGAGAACAAAGATTCCTAAAGAGAAGACTGGAACAACTACAGGGTCCTCAGGAGATAGAGCGAATACGAATGGACAGCATTGGATCTACCATTTCCTCGGATCGCTCGGACTCGGAGCGAGGTGGGTGTCACTGAACTAGCACTGAATCCTCAGGATTCTGCGAAGCAAGGGCATGAGATTGATCCATTTCTTGTCTCCCAGCTAACCTCATCTCATGGCCTTTGGTATTTAGGCTACTGATCTTGCTCACACACATGCACAGGCACACATATATATACATGAAGAGTTTAGTTAGAACTCATGCAAAATACTAAGTCTGGAAGAAGTGTTATTGTTGACTTGAGCTGATTTCTGTGGCATTTAGTGTGACCTGTTTCTCTAAAAAGCTCTCTAAACTGCCGAAGCATTAGTTGGGAAAAATAATGTGATCACAAGATGGCAGCTAAATACCTGACGGTAAAGTTGAGATATCCGTTGTGCTCTTTGGTCTACTGAATCTCTTGGCAAGACAAAGAGGAAAATCTAAGAAGATATTAGTGCGACTGGAACGAATGTTTCAAAGCAGCATCCAGCTTCTCGTTCTATATTTGAGCCACAGTATAACAAAGGTGCCATGGTATAACCAAGCAAACTGCCTCTTAAAATTCCTGGAGTCATTCTACACTCCTCCCTCTTTTTTTTTTTTTTAACTGAGCTTCCCACAGAGTTCATCTCCTCAGTTAAAACTGGATAGAGATTATGTGAATAGCTGACTGAATTCAGATAATTTTCATAAACTTTTAAGTATCTCTGCTGTGGAGAGATATGTAGGCACAGTTCATAGATTCATAGATTTCTAGGTTGGAAAAGACCTTAGAGATCATCGAGTCCAACCATCCCTAATCCCCATTAAACCATATCCTCAAGTAGATCATCCACCCTATTCTTAAACACATCCAGGGATGGGGACTCAACCACCTCCCTGGGCATTTTTCCCCCCCCCCCCCCCGGGCCAGCCTATTCCAGTGGCTGACAACCCTTTCAGAGAAGAAATACTTCCTAACATCCAACCTGAATCTCCCCTGACTAAGCTTATGCCCGTTTCCCCTTGTTCTATCACCCATCACTAATGTAAAGAGCCCTTCCCCCACCTCCCCACCATCTTTTCTCAACTATTTATAGGCCGTAATCAGGTCTCCCCTCA